GGGTGGACAAATTTCAATCAATAACCCTGTACGTAATTTTACAGTGTGAGCATTTTATCTTGAATTTGATGAACAAATTGATGAGTATAATAATTTTATAATTTGTTTTCCATTTTACTACTACTAGGTTGATCTTTACCAAGTAGGAATAAATATACAGATACCTTACCATTAAGAACAGCATTCGTCATCTTTCCATTTTATCCTTAATTTGGAGCTATTTGTAATCAATAGATTATATCTGATTTGTTACATGACGAATAACATTTTCTACAGACATTTTTGTGAGTAGAAGCATTAATCTGTTAGGTCATTTGAATCGTGCAACATTAAAAGTAAGAGTGCAATAACATTTGCTGATTATTATTAACACCAGTTTTGATTTTCAATTATTTGAATCGTTTGCAAATTATTATAGCAAAATGTTTGGTTCCTCCATGTAACTGAATAAATTAGTTTTGTTTCATTAATAGATCACCTCAAGACATCTATCAAATAGCAAAATTACCCAGTGTTATTGTTACTTGAGAAAGGACGAGGAAAAATCTTCGCGGAGACTCCCAGTGAAACCGAGGCCTGGGTAGTGTTGGATGTACTTACCAACTAAAAAAAACCATTTTTGAACTATGAGTTTTCTGGAGTCTTCCTTTAAAACTTGTAGTCCTCTCTAAGAATGTATCAGCCCCGACATCCGTATGCCAAAACATCGCATTCTCTCTATACTAGCTGCTTGCTAGTATAGGGATCTTACTAATTTAACATGTCAAAAGCTATCGCAAACTTTTTTCGGTATTTTGCCTGAAAAAGACAGAATTTCCTCACGTCGTTTAAATATACATTTATAAAGAGGGCTTTTAACTGTAATCAAGCACTATCACCTAGAGGTTCTTCTGTGACACACTTAGGCTCAAGCTGTAAGAAAAAATTCAAATGAGTAAAAATCTCCTAAGTGAACATAAAAAAGAATATATTACTAAATTGTCTCACAATATTAAGATAAAACAAATATGTGAAAATTCACTCTGATGTTTCGTTATTTCAAATTGAATGTCAACAGCTAGTTGTCACATTCTTGAATAAGCCTCTTCTTCCTGCGCCTTTTTAATAGTCGAAGTCTGACCTGATACCTGCTGTAGTAAATCGTCTAAAACAGAATTAGTGCCTCGAGCCTTTTCAAACATACAAACATAATGAATATGCTTACAGTTATTAGTCCGGACTAAATAATCTGGACACTCGCACTTAAACCGGTGAATGAAAATTTTGCAAACCCTGCCATGCATGTATATGATCCATCGCTCACCGCAGATTTTACGTTAAATTCCTCGAAACCTAGCTCCTAAATTAAGTTCGTATTCATTTTCTCCGTCATTTTATGAGCCTGTGGTGAACCTATCGTGATAATTATTTGCATTTGGTCTATTTATACTTGGAATTATTTTCCCCATTTTTGCATCCACCAGATTATCCAGTTGGTCCAATAATCAGCCCTGTGCTGTATCACTGGCGCACGTTATCGTCGAACGTTATATATAAAAATCACAAACATCATCAAATCACATGCCGCTTTCGAGCTTAACGTGCGTCCCTCGAAGTTAATCTCTCGGAGAATAAGAAAAAAATTGTTTGATCAGAGCGTAGTTTTGTGTTTTAGCTGTAATTTGTTTTTAATTTAAAACAAAAATATGTCTTTTGGTGGTCTGATAAGGTTAGCTTAGAATTAGAACAATTGGTAAATGGTCTTGAAAGGTAAGTTCTCCACTTATTTTCGTTAACATTTAAAATTCCACCAAAGATGTAACTTTTATAAAAATGAAGAAAAAATACAACGACGGATTTTGCGAGATGTCAGCGATCCGTTTCAATTGGGAGATAGCTTTCCAAATTAATTTTCGGCTTTCAATAGACTGCTAAATATGTAGTAGAAACTCTCCGACCTCACCTAAACCAGGGCCAAAGAAGCAATGCTTTGTCTATTGAGATAAAAGTAAGTAGCTACTAGTAATTTTTTGGATTATAATAATTTTTCGCCAAGTTAGTACACGCCAAGTACACATAAAATGCACTGTAGCTTTATAGAATATAAATATCGATATTCATGATTATGCAAATTGTAGGTGTTGAGTGCATTTTTCGCATCTGAAAGCTACCAACAAAGCATTGCTCAAAATTTTCATTTAGCCATTGAACGATCCAGGTTAAGTCGCGTCATAACAAAGATTACGAATGCAATGGTCAACCATTTGCTTGACATATTTGTAAAATTTACACAAACGGAGGCGGAAAGGCATCATATTAAAATAAGTAAGTATTTATACTTACTTATTTTAAATGAAAGTATTTTACTAAAAATAAGTAAATAATGTTTCATCATCAAATAAGAGCAGGAAAAGAGTAATGATATGTTTATTTAAAGGTTTTATGACAAATATAACTTTCCTGGGATAATTGGAGCAATTGATTGCACCCACATTGCAATTATTACTCCAGATACCGACAATCCGATTCGTCCTGGATTAGCATACTACAATAGGAATGGTTTTTACAGTAAATGTTCAAATGGTAAATAAATTACATGTAATTTAGATAATGCTTTACAATTTGCCTTTAAGATCTGTGACGCAAATCTGAAAATTTTAAATTGCAATGCTCGTTTTCCTGGTTCAACCCATGATGCAGCTTTATGGAGTATGTTTGCGGTAAAAAAACACATGGAAGAACAATATTTAAATAATAAATTAATAGGTTCTTGGTTAATTGGTTAGTAAAAAACATGTTAGTAAGGAACCTTATTTACAATAAACAACCTGTTATTTTTAATTGTAGGAGATTCAGGGTATCCCTGAATTTATCCTCTTTCAGGTATTCAGGTATCCCCAACCTTGGCTTTTAACACCGATTGAGGATGCCAACCCTAGCACACCTGAGGGTAATACACAAAGCACCACATGCTCGAAATGTGATTGAACGGTGTTTCGGTGTATTGAAGCAAAGATTCCGATGCCTCTTGAGACATAAGGGTTTGCAGTATTCCTCAGAGAAAGCGGCAAAAATAGTATTATCTTGTGTAATACTTCACAATATTGCTATTGCTGAAAGAACATTAGTCCCAGAAGACTTGGGAAATGTACATGAAGTTACTGACATTCAATCAAGCCAAGGTATGTACATATATATGGGGGTCCCAAAAACATGCCGACAAACTTTTAAAATCCAGTTTGGTTTAACATTCTATAATTAAAACACATTTCTTTTGATGACCTGTTACAGTTTTGTACCGTATTTTATTGACTCGCAAAATTCTATTCTTTCATAATCATCGAGATATCACATCTGAAAGTTGTCGTTATGTTTTTGAGACACCGCGTTTGTAGAAAAAGTTAAATCTCAAAACTTGTTTGTTACTTGTTTTTTTAGCTTTTAACAAATACCTTTAAGAGAGCAGAAGAGTACAAAGTGAAATAATTTATAGATATTTTAGAGATTAATTATTGTTACTTATTAGAGCTTACTACCGTTAAAATAATTAGAAATAAGAGCTCAGTTCAAGAGCAAGTAAAGTCAAAGTTCAAACAAACAGTGTATCTTTACAATTTATTTAATAGTCCTCAAAAGTTGTCTAAATTTTCAATTAGTTTGACATACTCTAATTTTGAACTCATTAATTGAACGTTTGCCAATTTATCAACTGCAGCAGCCAAACTTTAAATTGCAGCAGCTTTCTGCCTTTCTATTTCAACGGAAATACCTTGGCCCTCATCAAAAGTTGAACAGGCTTGCTGCAGCAGAACAGTGGTGTACCTTGCACTGGTTGGGGTACCCGCAGACTCATGAACAGTTTGAAACGCTAAAACAAAATAAATTATAGATACTGTAACGGAAATGGCCTGGAGTACTCACGTTTGGAATGGGGGATCGAAATTCATGGTATTTCAGTAAATGGGAGCCTCATTTGGGCCCCATTTAC